GAACCTTAAACCGCATAAACACATTTCATTACACCAAATACACAAAATAATGTTCTTTTTTAGCAAAATCATATGACCCCTTTAAATAGTTATGTGCTGACCTCATTTAGTTTGATCTGATTGCTGCACTTGCATCACTGTTGGGTTTTCCACCATTTCAGACCACATTAGACTGTAAAAAATAACACGACACGGCATCATTTCACATGTGAAAACTAGCAGTATGTGTTGAGGTGCACGGTGTGCGTCCCTTGGTTAAGATTCGCATCACAATGTGAACACAAAGCGCTACGAAATTCTCCTAATGGTATAATTTTCCGCATCATTGGAGTGTTAGCAAAGGCTTTAGGAAAATATGGAAATTCAAATTTTCTGCAGATCAACTTACCTCATGCCTTAGGAGTATTTTGTTTAAAGTGAAGTCCAGCTTAAATCACAGTTAGCACTGATGGACAATAAGATGCAATTATGTGGTCAATTATTTCAGTATAGCCTATTGGTTAGTGTGATTTTCTGGTTTAGTTTAGAAGATTTTTTTAATGTTTTTGAAATAAATATTTTCTGCTCATTAAGGCTGCATGCATTTATTTGATTAAAAATACAGTAAAAATGGTAACATTGTGAAATACTATTACAATTTAAAATAACTTTTTTAAAAACTGAATTTATTTCTGTGATGGCAAAGCCGTAATGTACACTAGTCTTCAGTGTCACATGATCCTTCAGAAATCATCCTAAAATGCTCATTTGAAGCTCCAGAAACATTTATTATCATTAGCGATGTTGAAACTCCTTCATAATTTTTTTTTCTGGAACCGTTTTTTCCCCCAGGATTTTCTGATGAATAGAAAGTTGAATAATAGAATGAATAGTTGAATGAATAGAAAGAACAGTGTTTATTTTACATAAAAATTCTAACATATTTGACCTATTTTAACCTATTTTCTTTTAAATGCAGAGGCCCCAAACTTTAAAATGGTAATATATCATGGTTTCCACAAAAATATTATGCAGTACAAATAAAAAGAAATGTTACTTGAGCATCAAATCAATATATTAGAATGATTTCTGAAGGATCATGTGACACTGAAGACTGTAATGGCTGAAGATTTAGTTTTGACATCACAGGAATAAATTACATTATTTTATTATAATGTATATTATAATAAAATAATGTAATTTATTCCTTATTTTAGGGGGAGGGGGGGGAAGAAAAGGGAATAAATTTCATTTGAACTCACAGTTGTGTGCTATTAATTACAAGAGGTTGGATGCTTTAAAATGCATTAATGCTCTGAGCTGTCCCCATAGCCCTCACGCATTTAAATCTGCCTGAGGGTCGCTGAATGCAATATGTCCGCATCGCTTCGGCTAATGAACCTTATTTAAATGTGATTACCTGTGCTAATACAACAGAGCAGCGCTTCACAACAACAACACTGCCCACATCATGAATACACTCCTGGCTGCATGTCACCTTGTTATTAATAACCGTTTGCTTGGCAGGAATTTGTATCCAGACAGACGTGACAGATCAGGGCCCTTGTGTTGAAACAAATGGTGCACATGTGATTGGGCTTTGGTTGCTTTATCAGCATTGAATCTGCTTCATTAATCAGAAAGCTTATTCTTAGTTTATCATTCTCTGATGACTCTTTACGTAATGGCCCAATGTGGGCCTGCTTTTATTTGCTTGGAGGCTCAAATGCTGCTGTGCTCAAATCAGGAGATTCACAGAGAAACGCACATTGACCTAAGTAGAAAAGATTAGCTCACTGTGGTCAGTGAACAATACATTTGCTTAGCTACTTCAAAAACGTTAAGCGTCTATTAATAGCAGTTGGTGAACAAGTTCAAAAAGTTTTCTGAGCTTTGACTGCCATTACACATAGTTGAGTTAAGGGTCACTTGGTCTGGAGCAGCAGCACGTTGTTTTATGTCAGTCAATGGCTGCAAAGAGCACATCATGGAGATAAAACGCTCTCATGTTTTTCCCTCTCAAGTTGGCCAACAGCTTACACGGTTAATACTAATACATAATAATTGCCTTATGAGGTGTTGAGAGAACGGCATTCACTTAGCCTATATATAACCTTACCTGTGCACGCCTGGCTGCCTTCCATTCATTCCAGTGTCGTAGTTTCCATTCGACACCTTTTCTGAAGAGCGCTTTCGGATCACAATATCCACGCTCACACTTACTGTACTGTGAAGTGTGTGATGAAAACTATGATAATCCTTTTCATGGGTCAAAATGAGATTTATAATATTAAACAACAGTGTAAAACTCCGTGTTAATCTCTAAACCAGAAAAATGTGCATCATGACGACAATTAAACAGCTTAAAATCTTTTCATAAAAATAAATAAAATAAAACCGTAAGGAAAATCTACATTAGCCTATATAGGCTAAAGGCCTATATTTTTTTGAATATTGCCCCCGTTTGAACTATAGCCTACATTAAGTGAAGCTGAAAAGAGAAAAAACACCAGTTTCCTGAGGGTTAAATTACTCAGACATATACTACACAACATAAACGTAATATTACATAAGTACTTACATCCTCAAAAAAAAAAAAAAAATCTCGAATAAATTCAGATTTTTTTTTACATTTGATCATTTTGCAAACGCTTTTATCGTTTTTGACCTACTTTATCTACACGATTACCTACATTACATTACAATGTAAACACTAATGTCTAAATTCAAAGTTTTATTTATTTATTTATTTTTGAATAGCCTGCATTTCATATGTTATCGCCAGGATGCACATCAGTGCTGTATCCATTATTATAAGGATACAACAAGCACTGTAACATGACTGATATGCAGATGTTGCACTAGCTAATTATTATACGAGTTAGCCTATATGTCTTTTTGAGCCCAGCTACTTCATCGTGCTACAGGCTGCAGCGAGGACCTCTTGTAACAACTCACTGAATCGCGTAAAATGTATAATACGAAGATCAATAAGAACAATAATAATATATTAGTATTCTCATTAAAACGTTACTTCAGGAGTAAATACATGTACTATAGGCTACGTAGTGCTTGAATTTTAATTTTGCAACGTTTAATTTTCTACTCAACAGGATGTTATATTCGTTGGAGAAAATTGGATGTAGTTTAAAGGGGTCATATGATTTTGCTAAAAAGAACATTATTTTGTGTATTTGGTGTAATGAAATGTGTTTATGCAGTTTAAAGTAAAAAAATCATTATTTTCCACATACTGTACATTATTGTTTCTCCTCTATGCCTTTCTGAAACGCGTCGATTTTTACAAAGCTCATCGGTCTGAAAAGCGAGGTGTGCTGTGATTGGCCAGCTATCCAGTGCATTGTGATTGGCCGAATACCTCAAGCGTGTGACGGAAATGTTACGCCCCTTCCCATATTGTGATGCCTTCGGAGCGAAGAGACAAAAACAATAAAACCCATTATAAAGGAGGCATTTGTTGCA